ACTCCCGTAACAGTTGAACCATTTTACCTAATCTGAGTCGAGGCCAATTCCAGTTGTTTTCACAAGGAACAAGGAGTAACAACTTCTTAAGCTTATTTGTGGCGTCCGTTTTATTTCAGATTTTTCAGTTTTGAAAAGACATGTTGTACTCAACCGTGAGATCTGACGAACAGTTTTTCGAATCCCTTTTTTACATTTCTAAGAGTGACATTTTTTTGTAATCGAAAAAAAAAAAAACAATCAAACAGAGATTATCGTTGCAAACAAAAATCACCGAAAAGAATTTCGTAACAATAGAAGGCACTTTTCAAGGTAGTTAATAACGCATAGGTTTGTTTCTTTTTTGCCGTCGTATTATGTCGCCAAATGCTCTCTTTCGATCGGATATTTAATTTTCCTTAATTGTTCTACGGCTCTTTTCACACTCATTTCATTTTAATAGAACTTAAATCATTTTGTTTTAATCAGGCGATGTTTCGTGCGCCAAATTTCCAAAATAAACACAGAACAGATCTTGTAAAAGCGACGCAGGTAGTCTACCTCAACAAAAATTATTTTTAATTAAATTATCGTATTGATGTAAATTTCTCTTCAAATGCAACTTATTTCTCCTGTATATCTGGGCAGAATATACAAATATTGGCTCAGACAAGAATCTTTCAATATAATACTTGTTGAAATCAATTCTTGACAGCGCTATTGGGATAGATCTTATCACTTTGAATAAAAAATCAGTCTTTTGTGATTAAACATTACTAAAAATAGTGAAATGAAGTGACTTGGAAATATCATTTGAATAAGCGTCTTAAAAGAAAAAAAGCCAAAAAGTCTGGATTACTGTGAAATAGACCAAAACCAAAACTATCGAAAGATTTGTAGACGTTTCTTTTATGCTGAGCCATTATGCTGGGAATCGCCCAACCTATAATTGATCAGCGTAACACCATGAAATAGATGACTCTTCTTCATTATTCTTATTGTTCTTATAGTAATTGTAGTTTTAATTAATTATTGATTGTAAATTTAGCTCTTTAAGTCAGTTAATTCTGCAATGTGGCAAATAAACGGTATCAGGAAATATCAGGATTGCAAAACACCGTTCAATAAGGTTGGTCTAGCCATACACAGGCTTAAACGTAAACACAAGATATCTGTGCCCTTTCGTGCAGTTCTTTGCGCCCAGAGTTTGAGACATACAGCTGTATTCAATAATTATAATCAAGTTTCTTTTATTTTCCACACGTCAAGATTACGTGCACTTTCACAAACTTTTGTTCAACTGCGGCATAACTTGATTCCACTAGTGTGGATCTCAATAGTTAGCAAACATACAAGACAGCAATCAGCAGTGGGTTTGAGAAAGTGTCCCGAAAATGATACTCAAGGAGCCACGTAAGGGTATGTCTTGACGATTACATAAACAACGAGGTAAAGATAAATACTCAATTACAGAGGGCATTTTTCCTGTGACTGTGTTTATGCTTGCGTTTAAAACAAAAACTCTCACGGCACAGACAAAAACTCTCACGGCACAGACAAAAACTCTCATGGTAAAAACGAAATCATCCGGATATCTGAGCAACTGCAAACCTACCAAATATTTTCCTGCTTGCGGGCGGTAGTTTGTGTTTTAAACGCGAGAGTAAGCGCGGCGAATATTCTGTCGCCGAACGGGTGGAAGATTTGAGGTAAGTGACAAAGCGAGGGATAGAAGGGAGGGGAGGGAAGGGAGGGAGGGGGGAAGGTTTTTCTGGTTTTCTACCCTTTCTCCCTGCCCCTTGCTTTTTCAGTCAAATCTATCACAGTTTCTCCCATACTGTAAGGCTACGTTACCGACAAACAATCACAATCACAAACTTTGCAAAGCAAAAATCCGTCAACTTGAAACGTAGTTTCGGAGAAATAGCAAGAGGTGCGCTGAGGTGCTATGCACTCAATGATAACTCCTATCTATGGTGAATAATTAGATGTACTTTTTGGTCAAGTGGAAGCAAGGAATAGTAAAAAAAAAAATAAATAAATAAAATAAGATAAGAGAATGGGGTGCAATTTACAGGTTATTGAGGAAGGATTCGTCTTCCAGTTCCCAGTTTTTCTAGTCCGCATAGCTTGGCATTAGGGAAAAGATGGACTTAAAGTTTCCTCTTCGAAACGTCGCAACCACATGTAAGACAGCCATGTTGGAAATAAGGGAAAATGATAAGCCTGAGGACGCATATTCATCATTAGTGAAGTCATTCTTTACGGCAGAGCCGCCGGAAGTGGATCTCACAGCAGTGAGGGGTTACTCAGCCATTGGCAATATCGCAGAATCTTCTCAATGCAATGATGACTTTCAGACAAGAAAAAAAAAACGTCGAGGAAGACAGTATTACTGAATCAGGGGTTTTGCGTGTAAAGAAATAATTTTGTTCCTAATGAAGAAGTGATTGCAGAGTAACGGCAATAGGCGCCTCGTGTAACACGACAAATCTCACCTTCCACGCCGGCTGAGAATCTGCAGTGATGACAACACATCTCCACGAACATTTAACTGTTACCGCTGTACGTTGCGGTACATGTTTCATGTTTATCAAAAGCTTTTGCTTTCGCGCGTATTGGGATGACACTACGCAAGCGTAACAGGCAACTCTCGTTACTTACGCTTCACGCCAGCATTGCTTGTTACACAGAACGGCTCATGATATCTTTTCACCAGTTGCGACTTCTGTTTCACTGAAATCGCATATCAATTTTTTTTAATTTTCTCTTCAGTGCACACTTCTTCAGTAAGCCTTTCTTGTTCTAGGAGTCACGTTGACCGCTTACAGCCCGGGCCATTTATCAAAGCTTGTTTCACGCACCCGGAATAAATATAATATTTCTTGCTCTTAAATCGCTTTATTTACCCCTCAAATTACACGTAATAAGTCATTTTAATTGTGCACATCGCACTTTTAGAATCTCAATGTTTCACCAGATCTCAGAAGACCAGATTCAGTTCAACTGAGTGTTAGTTGTTCGTTAAGTTCTTGCAGCATTGCTTCACTGATTTCCAATTCCCTGTCCGCCATGATCTTTTTCTAGTACACCTCTCTTCCTGTCACTCCTGGTTTCTGCAGTCTTTCTCACATTAACTTCAGAACAGCTCACCTTGGCAGCTTCACAGATGTACTTTAGTTGTTTTAGATGCCAGGTGGACTGAAATGAGAACGAAAAACTTAAGTAGGAATTATGCCATGACCCTGTTACTTTTCGCTATCACTTATACCGGCTTATACTTGGCTGACATTAGAGGGAAGAAGACGCGACTGACGGGTCACACAGAAAATGGGAAGGTCTGAGGCTCGAGTGCCCACGAGTACCACGGATCTCCTGCAAAATCTAAGGGAGGTCTGATAAAGTGCCGAGGGGTTGTGTTCGATGGACTGACCCCTAACCAGTCTCAGAAGTCCCATCTAAGAAATATCCAATTTGCAGAAAGTTTCGTGATAAAGGAATTGATTTTTGAATCATAGTAATTTTATGTGTTGGTTTTTAGTTCTGAAGCAATTTTACGCCGCATTCTTTGTGGATTGAAGACTTAAACATCAGTGGGAAATTAATGTTGTCACATGGCACTAATGCAATGCTGAGTCCCTGGATCTCTGTACGTAATGAGATGAATGAAATATTTTATTCTAAAATTAACCGAGAATGCGTTGCTCAACTCAAGTTGTCGAATGGGCGTGTAAAAGCAGACGGCATTACCCAACGCCTGTGTATTTTTTGGCCGACTCCATTTCACAAATGGTCTCTGTATTAAAAAAACAGGAGGCTTACCTGAAAGTATTGATCGAGTTAACTGTTGGCCATAAATAGTCTAAAAACTTATCTGTTAAGCTTAAAATTGAGAAATTTTAACCGTCAATCATAAAAAAATGAACTGCAATTTTGTTTTTGCTTATCACATTTTCCCTGCTGGGAAGGTCTCTTTGAGGGGCCGTGACCGCGCAGAGTTTGGGGCGAGAAGGCCGTGATCCTAAAGGAAGGAAGTTAACTGTTTGCCGTAAATGGCAAAAATTTTAACCGTTAGCTGTAAAAGCCATCACCCCTTTGAGACTCTCTAACCTTTCAATTTACAATAAATAAGAAAATAATAAAGAAAAAAAATAAGAAAATATGATCCATGATCTTAATTTAAATGCTTCATATCAAACTGTTTCCCCACTGCGATGGACATTTGTTTTTGTCGGTTCCAGCCTGGCGCGGCCGCTAACCCAGATGCCCTCCTGAGCAAATTTTCAAAATGGCGGACAAGCCAAAAAGAGAGATAAGAGAACCAAAGCGATTCTGCAACGAACACTCAGCATAGACCCTTGTTAAAAAGGTCATTTCACAGAGAAAATATACAAAATTGTATAATATTGAAGTCAGGGAGGTTGACAAACCCAACAAGGGACTGAAAATTCTTTACATTGGCTACAGTACACGCTTCGATGAGTGGAGACCCTTCGGGGTTCTGTCCTCATGTACCGGTTCACAAGAGCCAATACAAAAGACCAAACAATACACAATAGCTAACCGATAACTCCTAAACAAAGAAAGAACAATGGTAATTCCCTTGTGAACCGGTACACCAGGACAGAACCCCTTTTTTCGGCGTATACAAATCGTGTGAGATTAGGTGTCTCGAAATACGCAGACCGCAGACCGCACCTCTCGAAAACGAAGACCTCGAAAAAATTTGTTTTAGACATTTGGTGATGTTAAAAAAGGATTTTTTTTGGGAGGAAATTTTTAAAAATAGCTGCACAGACGTTTGCCCGGTTGTTATTGTTTGATGCTTGTAAAATAAATGTATTTTCTTACTGGTGGACCAATAAGTGGTTTATAGGGCTGTAAATTAATGCTCCCATGAGGATACCAGTTTAAATTTGATAACATATGAATAAATCATTCGAAACGACACCGGAAAATTTATAATAGGTTCTTCTCGCAAACCAACAGAACAACGGCAGAATAACAATTGATAGACAATAATGGAGCGACGAAAAATGGGCAGAGGATTAAATCGTTCGATCTACGCAATCACGCTCTTATCACTAATTACAGTGGTGATTTTCGTCTTTGCGTGGAGACCAATACTGCTTTCGTATTTCTTCAGATACACTAAGATCATTATTTTAGAAGCTTTAAGCTATGAACAGAGAGTTTTGGACAATGAACAACAACTTGCTCATAAGGAATGGAGAACGTATCAGATTGAAAGTCGTTTTGGCCAAGAATGGTGCAAAGAAAACGTACAAGCAAGAAGCGATGTTACGTGGCTAACAATTGTGGTGGACGATAATTTCGTCGTTCCTGCGTTGGTTCTCGCTCACTCCATCCAAGCATTCTCTTGCCACAAGAATATGATTGTCCTGATTTCAGATACAGTGACCGAAGAAGCCCAGGCGGCACTTGAGAAAGTTGGTTGGGACACTAGATTAGTTGAAGCAATGGACTGTGACTGGCTGGATGCAAAAATGAACCTTGAAAGAAACGAAGGACTGTTTGCAAGACCACGAGGCTACAGAATTATGGGAACACACACTCGATTCCACGCGTGGAAATTTTCTGAATTTTCGAAAATCATTTATGCCGACGCCGATTACATGTTGATGACGAATATCGATGAATTGTTTGATATTCCAGATGACTTTGCTGCCGTTCCTTGCGCGCGACCTGGTGTAATAGATCCTTGCTTTAATGCTGGTCTCCTTGTTTTTAGACCAGGTGCCAAATACTATCAGGAAATCATGGACTTATGGCAGGAAACCACCCAAAGAGATACTTGTCCTGACGATCAAGTTTTGCTCTGGCATTATTACGCCGATGCTGGAAACTGGAGAGCACTTCCTTACTCATTCAACATCAGACTCATCATCTACAGACCCTTTAACTCTTATCACTTTGCTGGAGGCAAAGGCGGCTATCATCCTCCCAAGCCTTGGTCCGCAGATTGCAGACCAAGCAGGAAAGAAGCTGCAGAGTATGACAGACCAATTGTTGACATA